TGGTTTCCCGCTATATCTGAAAGAGAAAACAAATTAGTATGATGGTGCCAGAGTAGGGAGGGACTTCCACAGGTCGGCCGAATGATGATTGGAGGATCGTGTTGCCAAAAGACTCTTGTCTGAGTCTGTGCACCAACCAAAGAGAACCAAGTCTAAACCATGGTATCTCTTCAGCTAGTCTTGACCAATCAAAAATGTACGGACAACGCCCTGTGTAATAAAATGTATTGTCGCACGAGGTTTGAGGCTCTTTACGGATTTGGTGGTTACAGATTACAGCTTTGCTGCCTGTGATTCCCAAAGACGTGATGAGTCCTTGGCCAAGTAATATATATCTTTTGCTCTCTTTACAATAAATAGTTAAACTTAGAAGTTGTCTGTCTTTTCTGGAATTCTGAACCCAACACAAAGCACTACTTACTTAATTTGATGGCATATTTAGGATATTAGACTATTAAAACATTTTATTGCTTGGACGCACGTAATTCTGTCTCATGCTACAAACTCTTTACACTGATTTACTGGTTGCCAGGGGGGTGTTGTCTGGAGGCGGAGCTCCTCTTTGGATCCTTGTCAAAGTTATGTATGTCAATACTGTGTTTCAGCATTCAGAATGACTGCAGTCAGCACACTGCACTGGTTTCTCTTTGTTGATGTTGTGGCACCTGTTGAATAAAGATTGATTTCACTCGTGTTTTCATCCAATTCATGACAATTCCCTGCATTTCCAGGCTGCCTTCTGCTCTGCCCGGGGGTTGCCTCACCCTGACACTAAATTTAGCGCTGCTGCTCAGGGTCTTTTAACATATCATGTAAAAATAGCAAGGAGGAAAGTCTGCTCACAAACAGCATATATACAGGACAGACTGAGGTTAAGCTGATAAAAGTGAACTGCAGTAACAGAGTAAAGACAAACAGACAAATATAGTAAAGCTGACAGACAGAAAGACAGACAGACAGACAGACAGACAGTTAGTTCACCTGTTTTTGCTCACAACAGGGGGTGTTAACAGAGTGTGAGAGTGGGACAGAAATACAACTGGTAAGTCAGGATCAGTTTACTGATTCATCTGAATTTATTGATCCTGGAAATTGTTTTATTTATTATCTTTGTGGTTTAAATTGTAATATCTCAAATTAGTGTTGGAGTTGTTGAAAGGAGTATTTTTGTTTGGAAGAAGGTCATATGGGCTAAGCTTTGGCTAGGCTAAACTAGGCTTAGGGACTGCTATAATGTGCAGAGGAAGACAGCCAAAGATAAGGGTTATACATGTATTTATTTATTTATAAATGTATACATCAAAGTATGTTACAGGTGTTGGTGGACTATGTCTACATATGTGATAAAGTAAAATAAAGCCTTTAGTGTTTACAAAGTGAGCTGTATGAAATCTGATAAATGTCCTCAAGCGATGTCACTGGAGTCAGCGTCACGTGATCCTGAGTGAGGTCTTCCCCTCAAACCAGCATGTGTGCAGGACACAAGGGACAAGGCTTCTGTTTTCAGTTCTCAGTACTTTTGTTTAACCAACTCTGTGGATATTAGTTTCTCACATTTCTAAATCAGATGTGTTTTATTTTAGCGATCACTTTCAGCTGTGTAGGAAGTGTGTTGAGTTTCTGCTAATGACCGCCATAATGGCCCAGCATTTCCTGATTCTTCTGCTGTACAAAATCAGCACAAATGCTTTAAATGGGTTGGTAATGACATAAGTTGAGTTTGCTGAGCTTTTTATCGGCAGTTTTTAAGTAGCAACAAGCAGTCTTTCTGCTGAGCAAAACTAAACACCTGCTGGAATACTGGACATTCCAGGAACATTCCAATATCTTGCAAAATGATCTTCTTAGTTTTCCCAGAGTTCATTGTGTTTGAACGTTTTTGTAACACACAACATGTGTTTCATGGTTGTGAGAAACCCCTCAGATGTTGAGGTCACTGTAATTTGAATCTCGGCAGTTTAATGGGGGTCAACATCAACATGTGAATGAGCTCATTCCTTAATTGAGTTATGGTTATTTGGATGAGTCAGCTTCAACACAGACACTGCTAAATCCCAGAGTGCATCCTCCAGACAGACAGAGAGCCATGGCCTCTATTTTAAGAGGTCTCTCTATCATTTCATTAGAAGACTTGTATCGACTTTACTAGTTAAAGGACCATAATGACATTTTTCAATATATATCTGCTCATTAACGATGAACAATTTTGCATTGTTCACCTCTTTTTATATTGATGTTTTTACTTAATTTCCATGAAGAAAAGAACCAACAGATTTGAAACCATAATAAATTATCACTAAGTGCTAATAATGATTAAGCTACTGATCGAAGCAGTGCCTCCACCTCTACAGAGCGTGTTTTATTGTTGCTTCTGAAGCATGCTGCTGCCTGTGTTTAATTTTAGAGTGACGCCTGGTGTGTTGTGTCACAGTCAGCCTTCAACAGGACACTGCACTGAGAACTGGACCAAAACTGGACTAATACATTCATCTGTCCGTCTTCTATTAAAGGTAGGCTAAATATGAATACGAGAGCTTGTGAATTCTCCATACTCTTCTTTCTACCGGTCCCCTGTGTTCTGCAGCAAGATCAGTATCATTTTGTTATTTATACATTTAGCACAAAGGGAATTTCCTGTTTCCTTTCATGTTTAGGGAACAAACAGATGTTTCTACATGCTTTGTCTCCCTTTATACATATTTTTGTATTATTTATTTTAAAGGAGAGGTGTCATGGCCATTTCCACTGATCATAATTCCATTGTTGAGGTCTACTAAAATAGATTTATACTGTGCATTTTTCCAAACTCACATTGGTTTCTCATACAGCATCTCTGTAAACTACGTGTATTCACTGAATTTCAGTATCTGCCTTTAACGGCTCGTTGTAGCTCCAAAAGCTCCAGCCCCCACCCTCCCTGTGAGCACAGTGTGCTCTGATTGGTCGGGACGTTGTGAATCGCGCTGAGCTCCGTGGAGGTGTTGCTTCCTTGTTTAGGATACATAGCGAAACACAGCCAAACTCATCCTGAGCACACACAAACTCACATCCGAAGTAAAAACAATAAGTGTGGCTTGATATTGAGTAAGAAAAAGGTTGATAAACGCTGTGAGAATGGGTCTGCAGAGAGAATATCACCGCGATCCCAACTGTCTGTTATCAGCCTGCAGCCAGGGAGGAGAAATCAGCTGAGCTGCCTGCTCCCTGCACACAGATGTGTGTGTGAGGAAGTCCGTGGATCGGTCAATTTGGACCAATCAGCGGGGGCTTAACGTAACGGCTCCGCGGACGTAACGTAACGGCTCTTCGGGATTGGTCCATTTCGTTCCGGGTACCGCTTGACATCATGCCATACCCGGAACGAAATGGAAGACTCAAATGGGCAGTGACGTATCTCCAACGAGGCGTTTTGGGGAGGTATTTTCTGTGTTAGAGTTTTACTCGCTACAGGGTGTACTTTGAGGGTTTTGACTCTGCACACCGTTTACATGCATAAAAACCTTCATAACACACAAGGGGACGGGTAATAACCGTAAAAGCATGACACCTCTCCTTTAAAGAACATAACAGTGTTTTTTTTTTAAATATGTTCGGTTCTGTTCTATTGGGTGTAGCTGTGATGAATTACCTTAACATGTCTGACATCCTCTCGCAAGGATCCTGGAGGGGGCCTGGGAGTACGCTTATCCGGTCTACATGTGTTTTGTAGATTTGGAGAAGGCGTATGACCGGGTTCCCTGGGAGTTACTGTGGGAGGTGCTGCAGGAGTATGGGGTGAGGGGGTCTCTACTCAGGGCCATCCAATCTCTCTCAGTTGAGGTGGTTCGGGCACCTAGTAAGGATGCCACCTGGGCGCCTCCCTCGGGAGGTGTTCCAGGCACGTCCAGCTGGGAAGAGACCAAGGGGTAGACCTGGGAGCGCCTTGGGATCCCCCAGTCAGAGCTGGTTGATGTGGCCAGGGAAAGGAACGTTTGGGGCTCTCTGCTGGAACTGCTACCCCCGCGACCCGACCACGGATAAGCGGGAGAAGATGGATGGATGGATAGATGGATGGATGGATGGATGTCTGACATGTCTGCGTGTTGCTGTAGTAAAATGTGATTCAGTCCATCAGGTATCAGATGTCTGGAGCCTGTTCCCCAGCACTGAAACACCACTAACAGCTACAGAGAAACATGTTAAACTGTACACATGCAACATAATGCCATGGTTGACACATTTCTTGCTGTTGTTGATGTTTATTGCTTTATGTGTCTCTTAAACAACAGGATGTCGCTCAGAGACAAATGGGAGAAGAAGGCTCAGAGTGTGGCAGACCAGATCAAACAGGAGGCCGAATGGAAGGAGAAAAGTTCCAAAGTGTGAGAATATGTGATATTTTAGTGGTTTTTGTAGAAATGTTTACCCTGGAGACAACTTCCACTTCTCATATAACGTCTATTCTGATTCGCGACACAAATGTGACTAATTAGTCCTGGAATGACTCCTGAACTGATACTAAATAACTCAAAAAATATTTTATTTATATAGTATATCTTTATTGAGCAAGGACCATTCATTAAAATACATTAATCTAAAAAAAAAGAAGAGATGCTGTATGCCATAAAAGAACATTTGTCACGTGTTTGTAAGACCTATTCATCCACCACAAACTCCTCCTTATAAAACACATGAATCAGCTGCTGGATTTCTCTTTATTTACCATTGCTACGTTTCTCAGTGTACATATTGATATATTATTAGGATAATATGTAAGTTGATTCTAATGTTTTCTGTCTTCATTTTTAAATGCAGAGTTTCATCAAAGTGGAATTATCACTGGTCACTTGTTGCCACTGGAGACTTCAAGAAGATCACCAGTGGGGCAGATGAAGAGGAAAAAAAGAAACCGAAAATCAAATTCAAAGTGGTCGCACCTCCTCCCAAACCCAAACACCAGCCTGCTCCCCCCCCGCCTCCCCCCAGGAAAACGGCTTCACCCAAACCTCTCAGGCGGAAGCGTAAAGTTGAGGTGGATGTGTTCGGGCTGTGCTGGAAAGACTCCTGGATGAGCCTGAAGCCTCCAAAGTATCTGTTCCTGAAGGCCAAAGAGAGGAAAACCAAAACCCCGGGATTCACCACCATAGAGCTGACTAACAGCAGGGAGTTCAAAGCGAAGGTCTTGGAGTCAGAGCCAGAACACGCTGCTGCTCCTGAGGACGATGAATGGAGGCTCTCCTGGAAGCAGGTGATGAGAGCTTCACATCAATACACACACAACGCCTGGTCAGTGTTGGTCATATTTTGGACAAAGTTTGAATGTCCGACAAGCTGTTCTTTTGGTAGCGCTGTAAAGTTTCAGTGTTATCTTAACATGATATGACATTGTATTGGTTTAAAACTTTATATTAGTGGCTATATCGAGTTTTTGAATATTCATACATAATAATTACATAATGGGTGTGTAAGGGTGGGATAGAAAAGCCATGTGCTTCATTATCCTTAACCTGTTAAGCCCGAGAGACCCCGGTACCGGGGCACTGCCGCAACATCTTGCAGGAAACAGTGTCTGAGGGCATGTTCATTTAATAAACTATGAATGTTTTATATCCATGTAACGGGAAGAAACTCATCTAACTGATCATTTTTTTATTTATTTTTTTTAAAAACCCACAATGCTAACGCTGAGCCTCTGAATTAGCAACGAGCGAAAAATGCTAACAGATTACTGCACCGAAAATCACTCACAAAACCTTATTATTTATCTTTTCTCCACATCCATGACATCGTTTCACATCGTGAGGTGACACAGAATTGAAGGGTACCCTTATTATCACTCAATTATACGAAATCGCGATGTTATAAACAAAAACCAACATCAAAACATGTGGCGCTAGGTAGCTAAAAATGCTAACATGGTTACCTTGTCTCTGTAGTCTGCTCCAAAGTGGTCTTCAATGGCATTAAAACGATAAAAACGGTGCTGAAGTTAATCCATAGGTTAATCCAATGTGTCTGTGTCCCTTTGAAATGATTTCTGATCATCCATGAGCAATAAGACTGCTTTTCCGTTTCTAGATGTCAGAGCGAGAGATAGCTTGACTCTCATGCAAAACTACATGCGCAAAGCCCCCACCTTTTTGTTTTACAACGTGTGTGTGTGGGGGACTCCCCCTTCGATTCTATTGGCTCTAATGGTCAGAAAGAGGTGTCAACCATCAAAATCGACAAAGGGGGGCCAGAGATATGGAAAAAAAAACATTTCCACTCAAATCACCTCAGAGGTGGAGTTTTTGTTGGCTAAACCTCTCTAAAAAGGTCAAATGTCACTTGTTTTGCATCAATCTTGATACAGGGTACTTATTATATGTTGTACTTTGGATTCCTAAAGCTTTTAGTCTACCTTACCATCATCCAAGGGTAGTTTTCACCATAAGGAACAGACACTATAATTTACAGTTTTTTACTATGTAAAATCTGAATTTTCTTTAAAATAAAAAACATCTATATTGTTCTGACTTTTCTACATCCAACTCACAGGTTTATCTGTCAGGTATATTAATTTAACCATTTTAGAAGGGAAGATATGGTCATTTGTTCTGGGAATGTCATTTTCGAGCCTGAGACCTGAAAAACAGGCTCAGGGCTAAACAGGTTAATAAAATCAAATAAAATCAAGTTTTATTTATATAGCACATTTTTAAACGATTTTTGGTCGAGCCAAAGTGCTGTACATATAATAAAAATACCCTACAGTAAAGACACTTTACAGCAAATACAACAGCACAGTTTGTTCAGAATATCAGTATGAGAAAACGACACCCTCTGTCCTTAGACCCTCACATCGTACAAGGAAAAACTTCCAGAGAAAAACCCACATTTCAAAGGGAAAAATGGGAGAAACCTCGGGGAGAGCAACAGAGGAGGGATCCCTCTCCCAGGATGGACAGAAGTGCAATAGATGCCGTGTGTAAATCGAAGAGATAATACATTTTACAGCGTAGGTAGACCGAATGTTTGGAAATGCATGTGTCTATAATAAGAAGATGAATCCACGAAGATGTCAACAACAATCCTGTGGGAGCCATCAGGGAAGCAGCATGACGAGACCCAGGCAGGACTGCAGAGACAGGCCCAGCCACGACCCGAAGTCCACGACTTAATCCAGAACTCAGGATAGAGGATCCAGGGCACAGCTGTAGGCTTCATATTCCAGACATTTTCTCATCAAGACTTTTTTTACTGAAACATGTGTATCATTTCATTTCTAACACATGTCATTTTGACACAATGTTGTTGAGTAACACCAGCTTCCTTAACACATGACAGTCAGCTTCTATTGTCAACTGATAACACAGTTCTGTGTTGGTAGGGATTAGACTGGTAAAATGCTTTTATTTCCAGGTGTACTTATTGATGTATGTACTAGCTACTCACAGTCACTTATAGAATCAGAATCAGAAAATCTTTATTTGTCCTGCTGCTGGGAAATATACAGCATCAAAGTTAAAGTGCAGATAAAAGGCAAGGGGAGAAAGAGTAGACTAACATAAGGGCAAGCGCTAATAACAGTAAAAACAACTAAGTAAAGAAAATAAGCACACCAACAGGACATTCATTTCACTGCTGATCGTCTTCTTCTTCTTGAGCTCACAGAGTAAACTGTTCTCTTCTAGTTAGTGGGCAGAGACTATGCTGATGGCAAACCAGTTGAGATGTAGTGTATTTATCATTCAGAACATTTGGTGCGTCTGGAGTTTACTTCTTTTATTTTGTCTTGTTTTTCTCTTTAGAGAAAATATAGAAAGAAATGTAACTGAATGTCCCCACTCAATGATATTCTTCCCTTGCAATACAAAATCAAGCCAAGTAATGTTTCCAGTGGAAATGCACAATAGATGTCTTTTTTTTTCAAGATGGCGGCAGGCAGTTCAGGCGCAGTGGCAGCAATCTATCTCTGCATGATTGTTCTAAATCTTAAGCCTCTGTTTAGCTACACCACTAATCTTGCCCCCTTGGTAAAACAACATGTTGAGGATACATCATTATCTACACCAGCAACGTCGCCGAATACCAAGCATTTCGGCCATGGTCGGCATGTTATCTATAGTTCATTCATCTGGCACTCCTGGCAGACTCTCAAACACAAAAAAGGGACTAAAACGAAAAGAGGAGAATATCGGGCTCTTGGCTGTGCTGTGTCTCTTGCTCTCGGGAGATATCTGTAGATCATTCTCACATGATTAAGTTTGTCCTTTGCAGGCCACTAGCTAGTGCGCCACCCGGTGATGTGTTAAGGTAATAGGCATTCAGTTGTTAGTCGGCATGCAACGTACATGTTCACTGTACATGCTGTGGTCATAAATAAAGCCACCACTTGCCTATGCAAGTATTAAGAAGTATTAACAACTTCTACAATATCCACCCGGGTCCCGGCGTCGTTTCCATCGACCTGACGGCTGGCGGCCCAGCCGCTGAGCTCCACACGCCATCAGTCGGCTTCCGAAGAGGCTGGCTAGCTGAACAGCTAGCACCACCCGCGGGTCTCTGCGGTCTCACGCTGACGACTGAAGGCTGCCGACCTAGCAGCAGGACCTCTACCCACACCATCGGAGGACTACCGGTCCGCGCCGAGGGTTGGTGGCCGAACATTGGAGATCCACACACCGCCGGCTGGCTTCAGAGGAGACTGGATGGCTTCCACGCCATCTGAGGACTGCGGGTCCGCGCCAAGGGCAAACGGCCAAGCAGCGGAGATTCACGCACCACCGGACACCACCGGACACCACCAGGCTTCAGAGGAGGCCGGCTAGCTGAAAAGTTAGCTCTGCCGGCGGGTCTCGGTGGTCTCGCGCTGACGGCTGCTGGCCTAGCAGCAGGATCAACATCCACACCATCGGAAGACGGGGGGCCCGCACCGAAGGCTAAAGGCATAGCAGCGGAGATCCACGCATTATCGGCTAGCTTCAAACGAGGCCGACTAACTGTACAGCTCGCTCCACCGGAGGATCTCTATGGGCTTGTGCCGGCTTGCAGCCTAGCGGCAGAGATCCATAAACCATCAGCTAGCTTTGACTGCTCCACTGTCAACAACGGCACCGAGGTAAAACCTAGAAATCCGGTATTTAAAAAATACCGTCGCACAAAAATGTTTCAAACAGTGAATCAAGCAAAAACAGTGTGGGATCCTCGGTGCAAGCCGAAGGGACTATTCAGTGGACATTTCAATTTCCGCAGCATCTGCAATAAACATGAACAGCTAGAACATCTCCTCTTTGAGTCCAATATTGATTGTTTGGGAATATCGGAATCTTGGCTAAAACAGTCGTCACCATCCACTCTTGTATCTATGGCAGGATATAATGTGTTTAGGAAGGACAGACTAAAGGGAAAAGGAGAGGGTGTGTTGCTTTTACGTGAGGAATACCATTACCTGTAGGGAGATTGGACTCCCAGCTAACATTGAGTTTGATTGTGTTGGTGTGGAAATCACACTATCTGAGGAAATGTCCCTCACCATGATTTTCCTTTATCGACAACCCACCGCTAAAGTGGATTTCTGTGACCAGTGAAAAAGAATCTAACTTCGATACAACCAACGTTAATATCTAGGCTGTCTCCGATACCGAACTCCGGTGCTGATAAGGCTCTGGTGAACGGCCGTCCAATCTTTTTAGGACTAAACCCCCCAGAATCTACACGCAAGATCAACGTAATCTGCTTAGGGGGGCGTTTACAGCGTGGCCTCTAACACCAAACTGCCTGTCGTATCCCTATTTTAGGCACTCCAGCCACGGATGTCCGACCGCTAGGATAGCAAAAACGGAGTGTATAGTGTAGTAGGTGTTGGTGGGCTGGTAGAACCCCAGAGCAGTATCAAAACTGCCCCTGGAGGGGAAACCCTGTGTCGTTGGGAGACCCCTTGGTAATTAGGGCAGCTTCAGGACCCACAATCCCTAACCCCCAATTTTGATCCCCAGTTATATTAATCAAAACAATGCAAATGTAATATCAAACACAGCCAGAGTCAAACATTAATGTCACAGCAGTGATATCACCACATCAGCAGAGCATATGTCATATTTCAACATCAATCAAAACTAGGGATGTCCCGATCACCTTTTTTTGCTCCCGATCCGATTCCGATCATTTGATTTTGACAATCTGCCGATACCGATTTTTCCCGATCCGATCTTTATGCAATGCATTAAGAGGAAAAAAAAGGTAACAGATAACGGCTGGTCATCC